ATGCGTAGAACTGAGATCATGGATGTCTGTTGTTTGAAGCCACTAAGGTTTGGGGAGATGTGCTCTCCAGCCACAGATAACTTAATACAACCCACCACCACCCCCTCCTGGGTCCACTGAGCCACCCCCCCCCCCCCCCCCCGAGGCCCACGGAGGAAGTCCCAGGCTTACGCCCTAGTCTTCCACATTTTACTGCTTGAAGGCCTGACCTGGGGGAAGGCATTTCACCCTCTCTCGGTTCCTTTTCCACTTGGTTAAGGCCACAGGTGCGCAGGTCTTTCCTACTATTCTCTCACTTTGACCTTCATAACTGCTCAGAGAAGTATTTGGGACAGGTCTCCATGTCCCTGAATGATAGCGGAACAGATGCAGGGTGGCGTGGGACATTGTGACAGCATCGTCCGGGATGACGGTGAGGACAGTGAGGGTCCGACTGTGGCTCGGGCCTCACTGGCCCTACCCTGCACGTAGCTCGCCTCCTGTGCTGTGGAAGCCGGGGAGCCTGGCCACTGTGTTCCCCGGACTCGCCTGCAGCTGGCCACCCGCGGGCCACATCAGTCCCCCATGAAGAGCGCTCATGCAGGTGAGAAATCGGAACTGGGGTTCATGGGGAGAGACGGCACCGAGCACCCATGTTGCCATGTGGATCGGGGCTCTGGAGCTGGCCGCTGAGCGGTGACCTCCCGATTCCCCAGCTCTCTGTTGGAGCAGGAGCTGCGGCCCCTGGGTGGCCCAGTTTGGAAGTTGCTCCTGGACGCTCCGCTGCTTAGTGTGCTTTAGAAAAAAAAAAAAAAAAGATTTAGAATAGATTCTGTTGTCGGTCCCTGAAGCCTGACTGATACACCACCTCCAGAACATTCGGGACAAAGGGGTCCCAGCAGGTCTCCTCTCAGCATCCTCCTGGTGGCTGTACATCAGTCCCCCGGGGAGCACTCCGATTGGCTCTGCTGGGTCAGTCCTTGTCTTGAAAGATGGGGAGTGAATGACGGGGACATTTCCTACCACGGCAGCCGGGGGATGGGGCGCATCTCTAGAAGAGGGGCTGAGAAGGCCTGGAGTGCAGAGTGTGAGCAACCACGTCTGTCCGACATTACCCGACACAGGGAAGCACCATTAGCAAATTCCACAAGAGACAGGGCGGTAATTAAGCCCAGAGGGCAGGAGATTGTCACAGGAGTCCCAGAGCCCTGCTCACGGGTGATCACGCCTGTCCTCCAGCCCTCCACCACGGAGGATGCAGAACTAGCCCCATCTACCCCTGACAGTGCTTTGGGTGGGGAGGAGGGACGGAGGCTCAGAAGGGATGAGGGGCCTGGCAGGCTGGGAGACGTCCCAGCAGGAGATGGGGGTTCGGATCCAGGCCTCCCGATTCCCATCCACTGTGGGACCTGGAGCCAGCAGACCGGGGTGGTGCCTCTCATCGGCAGAATGCCCATGGCAGCGGTGGGCCTCAGTGGGACAGCGTGTTGGGAAAGTGCCTACCCCTGGGCCTGGTCCCAGGAGGCACCTCCTGGTGATGGTGACAGGCTGGAGTGCTTGATTGTGCCTCCGCTGAGCAACTTTCCCGTTGCCTTGGTGACAGACGCCCGGTGACTTGGGCTTTGATTAAAACTGGGTCCACGCAGCAGCGAGCTCTATCCCTAGCCCCTCCTGTTCTGTGAGCCTGTCCCCTGGCACCAGGCCAGAAGGAGCAGGCAGAGGGAGCAGGCCTCTCCACCTCAGCCCTCCCTGCTCCCTCTGCCATCTGCCAGTCTCCCTCCCTGGACTCGACATGGCCTGGAGCCTGAGGTCTGGGTTCCATTTCTGTCTCTACTGTATCCTGCAGAGTAAGGAGGGGCTTGTGTTTGGCCTCAGCTTTGCAAATTGGAAGGAGAGTAGCACCTACCTGGGCCGTGGGCCGGATGTTGACCGCGGCCCCTGCCCTTGTAAATCCTGATACCAGCGCCACCAGCCTCGGCTCCCAAAGGGCCCTGCGGTCCTCCAGCCTTGGGTTCCTGCTCCTCTTCCTGGTGCTCCTCCATCTCCCATGGGTCTTCTGCCCTGTGTGATGCCAGCTCGGGGGTGGAGTCCAGCCCCTTCCTCAGTTTCCACAAAACCCCTGTTTCCTACCTGGGGCGGTGGAATGTATTGAATGGTGGAGGGAGGGTTTGCACGGAGAGCTTCACGTTCTCTCTGGAAGCGCCTGGCCTTCCACCCTGTCCCAGGAGAGGCTTGCTCTTTCCCCCAAGCCTGCACGATCCCTTTCTCCCCCTCATGCCGAGCCAGCCCTGACCGACTGTGGCCCCCGCCCCCTCTCCAGTCCCCCTCCCAACCCAGCGGGGCAGAAGCACAGGCCTGTCTGGGTCCCAGCACTGTACCCCCCTTCCCGCAATCTTCACAAACCAAAGAGATCTTGGGAGCTGCCCTGCGGATTGTGGGGTGCAGGGAAGACTTTCTGGGACCTAGCTGTCTAAGCTCTGCCCCACTGGAGAGGGTCCTTATGCAAGCACCAAGGGCAAATTCCACAGCCAGACGGGGAGGCGCCCCAAGACTCGGCACTGAGCCACGTGTCACTACGACCACCTCCTTTCGAGGATGTATAAAGGTGGTCAGCATGGATCTGCTGGAAGTTTCCTGAATGCTGCCATAGCCCCCGACCCCCAGACAGGTGATTGCTGAGGGACAACTGTTTTGAGTGATTGTGTCACCTGACACCTGTTCACGCAGGTCGACCCCTGGGGGACGCTGGGCTATCCCGCCCCCTCCCACAAAGTCTCTGTGGCTGGGCTTTGGCCAGGGCCATGTGCCCAGGAAATGGGGAGCCCAGCAGATAACACAGGTTTTCAGCCCTGATGGACTTGGCTTGGGTCACGTGACCCTGGCTGGCTGATCAGAAAGCCCCATCCCCCTGGCAGAGAAATTGGCTCATGGTGGGCACCTGACTCCGGCAGAGCCAATCGGAGTCTTCCATGAGATTTGATACATGGACACCAAAGACAGAGGGTCTCTTGCCTTCTACTGGCTCATGGGCTGGCAGGAATGGGGTCAGAGTGGTCAGGAGCCATTGCCATGCCATGCAGAGACAGAGCCTCCCAGAAAAGAAAACCAACATGCCGAGGAAACAAGAACGTCTGAAAGATGAAGTGATGAGCCTTGAGGATGTTTGAGTTCCTGGATCCAGCTGGGCCTGAAGGCAGTGCCACTTCTGAATTTTCAGTATGTCAGCAAATAAATTCCCCTCAGCTGCTATGGGTTGCTTTTGACAGTGTAATTGAAAGGACCCTGATTATCAGGAAGGAAGGATGGGAAGGTAAAGAGGGAGCTTACGGGAAAGGCCGTGGGTCAGAGGGTGTCCCAACTGGGAACTTTTAGTCCCTCATCCCTGAATCTGGCCTATTGTGAGGTCACCTGGGCAGCCTGTTAAAGTAGATGCTGGTTCACTAGACTGGGGACCTGCAAACCTGCATTTCCACAAGCTTCCCAGGGAATTCTGGAATCAGCCACGTGGGAAACTGCTGACCTGGTCCTCTCCCCTCACTCTGTCATTAGGGAAACTGAGGCCAGAGGGAGACGCACTCAGCAAGTTCATGGTAATTCCCCATTTGTTCTTTCCCCCTTTCCTGTCTTCCTGTTGCCCGCTCCAAGAGTGAGGCAAGGAAGGGGAAGGTTTAAGACCCTCCACAGAGGGGCCCAGGCTCAGACCATTGTCTAGCACCCTCACCTCTCAGTCAGAAGCTGAGAGAGTGTACAGAAATGACCGTGCTCTTATTCCCGGAGCTGCTGCTTGCCCGACGCCCGTCCGCCCGTCCGTCCGCCCAGCCGGCCACCAAGCACTAGTGTGCCCAGGACAAACCAGTGAGTGTAGCTGCTGTAGGTTGTTTATGCCTTCCTCCCCTCCCCCCCTCCCCCCCCCCCCCCCCCCCCCAGTCCCACCTTCCTTGAGCCTCCACCCGCTCCCCCTTTAGGGGGCAGTGCCAGACTTGGTCTCATGTTCAGGTTCAGCCACTCAGCCGCTATCACTCAGTAGCTGCGTGAACTGGGCACTCAATTTCTCTAAACCTCCTGGCACCCCACCTTTCTCATTCTGAGAAGCGGGGAGGACAGGACTTTCCAGGATTGTCGTAGCCATATGGGCGAACTGTGGGAGGGGGCTGTGTGGGGACGTTGGTGGCACCATCCTTCCTTATGCCTTGATTTCAGAGCCACGTGGAAATGTTAAAAGGAAGGAAGAAAAAAGCCCTAGACTCCCGCCCATCTTCGTAGGTTGCCCACCGTCAACGTTGCACATTTCCCTCCAGGCCTGACTGCCCGCAAACTTCATCCTCGTGCGGTTGTGATCGGCCCGGGGATGCAGTCTGGCGTCCTGGTTCTTTGGCTCACACCTGGTCGCTCAGAGTCTTTGACAAGGGCCCCGTGATAAAGGATGTCAGTGAAAAAAGTCGTGAGAAAGGGGAATTTGGCTTGGAGACAGAAGCCTGAGTGAGATAAACAGGCCCTCTGGGCCTGCGGGAAGCATGAGGGCCCTTGGGGGGGTCACACTGGAAATGGCTGTGAACCAGCCATGTGACCTCTCTGGACCTCAGCTCCCCCATCTGTGAAATGGGAGCATCGAGCTGGCTGATCCCTGAGACCCCTTGAAGCTCTGAGTTTCTGGGGGCCTGTGACCCATTAACCAACTGGAGTATTTTTGGCACGCTAGGTGCTATGGGGGATCTGATGGAAGGAAAGGTGGACCCTGCCCTCGGCAACCTGAAGGTCCGGTTGGAGGCACAAAGCCAGGCCACAAAACCCAATTCAAGAACCATCATTCAAGGGGCGCCTGGGTGGCTCAGTTGGTTAAGCGACTGTCTTCAGCTCAGGTCATGATCCTGGAGTCCCGGGATCGAGTCCCGCATCGGGCTCCCTGCTCAGCAGGGAGTCTGCTTCTCCCTCTGACCCTCTTCCCTCTCGTGCTCTCTATCTCTCATTCTCTCTCTCTCAAATAAATAAAAAAATCTTTTAAAAAAAAAAAAGAACCATCATTCAAGAATTGTACGAAAGGAAAGTATAGAATTTCAATCACAGCAACACAAACAATTGATCTTGTCCCAGGTGGCAGGAGCAGGACTCCTGCTTCCAGAGGCTCCGAGGAAGGCAAGCGCAGCTCTGGAACCAGGGCTGGCCCCAGTGCAAAGCAGGGCCCCAGGGAGCACCGATGAGGGGACCTTGGATCTGAGAGAGCCCGGCCCGGGAATGTGCTGGGGAAAGGGCTGTGCAGAAGGGCCTGGAACCCTCACTGTGGGGGGGGGGTTGGGGGGGCTACTGGGCTGTTTGCTCAGGAGGCAGGGAAGCTCAGGGGACTGATCCCTGCCTTCAGATATTCCCAGCACCCATGGGGAGGATGGGCTGGATGTGTGCTGGTGGCCGCCGGGGGCAGGGCTGGTGCTGCGGGGAGCAGGGAGGATGCCCCGCACCCCTGAGCCCTCAGTTTGGGAGATAGGACAGCACTGGGTGCTGCCCGCTGGCTGCTTACCACGAACCCACAGGCCCTGTGGCAAGTGAGCTCCGGGCATATCTGTTTATTTTCCGTAACAACCCTGCCAAGGAGGCGGCGCCACCGTCCTCAGTTTACGGACGAGGACATCGAGGCACAGAGAGGGTAAGTCACGTGCCAGGAAGCGGAGGGCGGGAGGTCTGAACTCAGGCGGTGGGCTCTCCAGCAGTGGGACCGTGTAAGCAGAGGTGAGGGGCGTGGGAGAGAGCAGGGCAGGGGCTGGGTGAAGAGCGTGGGAGAGAGCAGGGCAGGGCCTGGGTAAGCTGGCTCCCGAGGCCACTATGGCTTTAGAGGCTCATCAGGGAGGGCTCTCTGGAAGAGGTGCCCTTGAACTGAAGTGGAAGTCTGGGAATGCTTGCTGGAGAGGAGCAGCAAGGGTGTCGAGGCCAGGGAAGTGGCGGTTGCAAAGGCGTGGTGGGTGGGGAATGGGTCGTGGTGTGAGGGCGGGGAGGGGGACCCATGGGCATGGCCAGGACTGTCCAAAGCAGACCCAAAGCCACACGCCGGGCCCCTTGCACGTGTCCGGAGGCCCCTCTGGTTGGCCGGCCAGCGTATCACAACAGCACCCTGACCAGCAAGCATCCTCCCTGTGTCCTTCCAGCCTCCCCACTACTGTCCAGTCCCTTGGCAGTCTGATTCAACCTAAACCTGATCAAGCTGTGCAGGAGCCCCCGTGGCTCCCCACTGCCTGAGCACAAAGTCCAAGCTCTTCCCCCTGGGTGACGTTTCAAGGGCCCTCCAGCATCCCCCACCCCAGCCTGGTTAGTGAGCTCCCCAGCCACCAGCACAGTGAGGCCAGATGGGGTGCCCGTGTCCATCCAGGCGACTGAGCCCTCGCTGCTCCCCCTTTGGACAGTGAGCTCAAGAGCGGCCACTGCTCTCTCTTAGGGCCCATGTCCCTCGTCCCTCGAGCCCAGCGCAGGCCCTCTGGGAGAGCCCCAGGCCACAGACATGTGGTGCGGGAGCCAGAACACGGGGCCATGAATCCCCGCTCTGCTGTTACCAGGCCAGCAGTGAAGGACCAGCGTGAGTCAGGATCGGGGGCGCTGTGCTCATTGCTGGGGACTCAGGGAATGCTGGCTGGATGTCATAGAAGCAGGAGACAGGAGGAAGGGAGAGGGAGAGGGGGGAGAGAGGGAGAGATGGGGAGGGGAGAGAGAGAGGGAAGAGAAGGAGAGGGAGGGAGGGAGGGGAGGGGGAGGGAAAGAGATGGGGAGGAGAAAGTTGGGGAGGGGGTTACGGGTGGCAGAGGGGAAGCGGGGACATGAGGTTGGGAGGGGAAGCTGCCAGGTGGAGGGGGGAGGCAGAGAGCAGAGGCCATCAGCCAAGGTCTGTCGGGCTCAAGTGAGAACTGTTCCATCACGAGGTGCCACCTACCAGCCAGCTACTCTCAAAATAGCTGTCCCTGCTGGGGCCACGCTGGTGGAGGCCAGGGCCGGGAGCCCTGTGGGGACACCGGGAGCCCTGTGGGGACACGTGCCAGGCCTGTGGCTCCTGTGGTCTGGTCTCCAGCCTGGCAAGAAGCCTCTGTGACCTGTGCCTTGAGGGGCTGTGGCGGGGGCTCAGGGGTCCCTCTCTGTGGGCCTGTGTGCATGTGTGTGTCCCGTGCCCTGGGGTCGGAGCCGGAGGCTGGGCTGGTGACAGGCAGGGAATGGCCAGACTGATAATGATACTCATGATAGTGGTCCTCATCCCCATTATAAAAAACGAGGCCAGCCCAGCAAAGTTGCCCACCCACGTCCATCCCTCTTCTTCCTTTTGCAAGGACCCGAGGACGTTGGGGGCAGGCCAGGGGACACACCCACCTCCCGGACTCCCTTGCAGCTAGGCTGAGCAGGGCACCCACTCCTGGCTGCTGAGATGTAAGGACGAGTCAGCAAGGAGGGCCCCGAGAAGGCTGTGGTGCTCCCCACCTCTTGGCACGTCTCTGTGCTGGCCTCCTTCTGTCCGGCTGCACACGGCTCTTCTCCAGCAGGCCGAGAAGCCCAGGCCGGGGAGCGCCCAGGCCGCTGGAAGCACATCGACATTCACCCCACACGGTCTGAGGTTGCGTCCCGGCCGTGCCGAGCTGCGTGACCTTCCTGGGCCTTGGTCGTCTCAGCTGAGAAATGGGAAGAAGAGAGAGTGACCAGTGCTGAGACCCTGCTGTGTCTCACGGGCCTGGCGCACCTTCTGGGCCACCAGAGGACAATGGAATACGGACGTCGATGCATTTGTGTGTTGGATGTGTTTTTGGCATTTGGTCCAGTCCAGTTTGGCAGATACTTTTTTTTTTTTTTTTAGGATTTATTTATTTATTTGAGGGAGAGAGAGTGGGGACGGGGTGGAAGAGGGAGAGAGACTGTGAGGAGGACTCGTGCTGAGCGCAGAGCCTGTCGCGGGGCTCGGTCTCACGCCCCTGAGAGCACGGCCTGAGCCGAAACCAAGAGTCGGCCGCTCAGCCCACTGCGCCACCCAGGCGCCCCAGTTTGGCAGATACTTGTGAGGATCGCTGCTACTTGGAAAGTCGGAGCGACCACACAGCGGGCGGTTGTTCATCGCCTTGTGTGGCCACCGTCGCATCCGTGGTGGGGTGTCCGGCTCGTGTCCATGTCGCGGTGGCCTGGCAGCAGCCTTCCTGGGACATCTGCCGAATGAATGAATTCATCCATGACCACTCAGCAAACGCCCCCACAGTGACTTTTTTGGGGGGGGTGGTGGGGGTGGTGGCAGGCTCTGCCCAGGAACAAATAAAACCAAGGAGAAACTAGGCGTCCCTGATGGACAAGGCCTGTGTGTTTGCCTTCGGTGGGCAGATCGGAGTTGAACAGGGAGCAACATCTGGAGCCAAAGGAAGAGAGTCCAGGCTGGGGGAAGCCAGGCTGTTGTGGGAGAGAAGGGGGGCCACGGAAACAGGTTCTCGGCTGGAACATTCTAGTCCCTGGATTCCCCACCGAGAGAGCCAGGAATCGCACGTGGGGCCAGAGGAAAGCCCTCCCTCCTGACGTTCGTTCTGCCTCTCCCCCCAGCCGTGTGGGAGACCTTGTCCCTCACTCCCGTCGCTGTACCCCCCGCACCCAGAACCCCCGGGCCCTACCGCGTGTGCAGAAGAGGTTCCGAGGAGGGAGTGGCTGCTGGTCTGAGGGAGGAGGAAGAAGTCAGGAGCCGGAGGCTTCTCTGGGCTGTGCCCACGGAATTTTCCAGACTGGCTTCTCCTCTGGTCCCAGTCTGAGCAGCTCTGGGACGCGGCATGACCTCAGCCCTCCCCTTCTTCACCTCACTTCGCTGAGCATCACTGTCGGCCACATTCTTTCCGAGAGTCTTTCCACACATGAGGTCTGTTCTAAGGATTCTTGCTCCCTCCACGGGGACAACTCCGTGGGGCACCGGCCTCCCACCCGGTGAGTCCCCAGGCCCCTGCGGGGGCCGATCCCACACCCTCGTGACGTCAGCCCGGTCCATGCCTCCAACGCCAGGACAGACGGCCGCATCACCCCGGGGGGGCGCAGAGCAAGGAGGGGGTGGCCTTTAGCCCGGGGTCCCGCCCAGCTCTGGTCCTTCCAGGTGTGTGCGCTGGGAAGTCAGCAAGCCTCCGTCCTGCCCCGCGAGGCCGCCGTGTGGGAAAGTGCTTTGTAAACTGCAAAGAGCCGGCAGATGGGAGGGTTCCCATCCACACCTCTGCCCACCAGCTTAGGGTGCCCAACCCAGAGGAGTTTTGGGGGCCTCCCCAAACTCCTACAGAGACTCCCTCCTCCCGGGTTTGCTCTGCAGGCCTCTCACCGATGCTTGAGGTTCTGTCACTAGGAATTCTCTCACTGCTTTGTCTCTAACCCCGGCCGAAGGGTGTGGGTGGTCTACACGGGGGTCATTAACTCTGGGAGGAACCATCCACCTAGTCTTCCCGGGGTGGGGCAAGCAAGGGAGAGGGAACGGGGAAAGCGTATGGTCCGGTGGAGCTCCCCTCTCCGTGTTCACAGATCCCACCTCCCGCCAGCCCCCAGGGTTTCAAAAGGGGTCCCAATACGCAATCCAAGGCATGACCACTTGAATTAAGTGTCAAAAAGCAAAACGCTTTCCCTGGTATCTCCCGGTGGGTGATGAGTGATCCCCTCCTCCCACACGAGCTGGGGTGAATTCCTCTGCCCCCCTCATGCCACCCGTGTCTCCGGACCCCCCCACGTTGCTCTGAAATGTGAGACTGGAACACAGGGGTGTGGGCAGGGCGTCAGCGTGAGGACCCCAGGGCTGGGCGGCCTCGTTTGGCAGCCGCGGCTTACTCGCTGTGTGACCTGGGAAGGTTATGACTCTCTCTGTGCTTCCGTTTCTTCCTCCTGAAAACGGGGATGATCACCACCCCGTACGGTGGTTTGAGGATTTAACGGAGGGGTGTGCAGGGAGAGCCTGGCCTGCAGGACGGGCTGAATCGGCCTCAGCTTTGGGGTTACTCATCCCAAATCTGTTGGCTTCTCTGTTCTTTCCAGAGTCCTGGCCACCTGTCTCCTTCTGGACCACGGCGCCACCTTCCTCACGGGATCTCTTGCAAATGCCCTGCCCCCCTACGGACCCCACAGTTCTGCTCCCGCCCCTCCCCTGCTTCCGACCCTTTAAGACACTGTATCCATTCATTCCCTGGCTCGATGTGCATATTCGACGTTCTCCGGCCATCAGACCCTGTCCTGTACTGGGGACTGACTACAGTAGACAGGGAGGGCCCTGGCCTCAGGGAGCGTGCGGGCTAGCGTGCGCCCAGACCATGGCGACTACACAGGGAGATAAATGAGAGCATGTTAAGTTCCGCAGACCAGTCATCGGTGGTCACTTTTATGCCACCTAATAAGCCCAAACTCAGGGGCTTCCACAACAGTCACTCGTTCTCACTCACAAGTCTGCAGATCGGCTGCGGATCCGTGGATCTGGCTGGGCTGCTCAATAGGCCACTCATCCTTGGACTTCCGGGGACATGTGTATCCCGTGGGGATGGCAGGGGGCCAGGGGGCAAAAAGAAAGCTGTCGTGCTTCCGGAGCCCCAGAAGTGGGACACTCTCACTTCTGCCCACATCCCATCGGCCGAAGCTTGTCTTGTGGTCAAGTCCACCATCAGTGTGCTGGGAAAACACACCCTGCCTCTAGAGGGACACCCTGCAAAGCCACAGAGGGAAGGTGTGCGTGCAGGGCCGGCTGCACAACTGGAAGCAGCAAAACCTCGTACCACTCGCTCTGCAAGAAACGGGGTGCTGGTGCGGATAATCCCCGAGTGTCTGCTCCCGAGGGCTGCTCGGGGTCAGTCTCTCTGCACAGCCCATGCTCATGCTTAGACCCAAAGGAGGAGGAGAGCCAGGGAAGAGCTTTCTAGCAGAGGGAATAAGTGTAAAACCTCAGAAGTGGAAATGAATCGCTGTGTCGTTGGAACAGTCAGGAGGCAGGTGAGGCGCACGGGACCCAGGTGCGGTGTGCCCTCTCCATGTCCATCCTCCGTACAAGGCCCAGGCTCCTCTGCTTGCCCACCGAGGCCCCCGCACTCTGGTCCGTGCTGAGCGCCCCCCCTTAGGCCCTCTGCCTGAGCCGCACTGGAGTACAGCAGGCCTCTGTCCTCATGCTCCTCCCGAGTCTGGGCCCATGGTGGCCCAGTGGTGCATCGCGTGACGCCAGGTGGAGTTAAGTACTAGGAAGGAAGGTAAACCCGGGTGACGGGATAGAGACAGGTGGAAGGAATGTTGGCTTCTCTCTCTTTCTTTAAAAGTTTAATTATTTAAGAGAGAGAGCAAGAGAGAGTGCACGAGTGGGGGGCGGGGCCCAGGGAGAGGGCCGAGCGGATTGAGCGCAGAGCCTGATACAGGACTCAATCTCACCCTCTTGAGAGCATGACCTGACCCTAAATCAAGAGTTGGACGCTTAACCCACCGAGCCACGCAGGCTCCCCGGGAATGTTGATTCTGTAATTCATTTTTTTTTTTAAAGATTTATTTATTTATTTATTTGAGAGAGAGAATGAGAGAGAGAGAGAGAGAGCACATGAGAGGGGGGAGGGTCAGAGGGAGAAGCAGGCTCCCCGCCGAGCAGGGAGCCCGATGCGGGACCCGATCCCAGGACTCCAGGATCATGACCTGAGCCGAAGGCAGTCGCTTAACCAACGAGCCACCCAGGCGCCCCGATTCTGTAATTCATTATTTGGGGCACTTGGGTGGCTCAGTCGGTTAAGCATCTGACTCTTGATCTCAGCTCAGGTCTTGCTCTCAGGGTCATGAGTTCAAGCCCCACGTTGGGCTCCACACTGGTGTGGAGCCTCCTTAAAGTTAAAAAAATAAAAATTATATAATTTATTTAAAAAACTTTATTATGGGAAATTTCAGACATATAAAAAGATAGAGACAACTGAGCAATGAACCCCGAGGTGCCCATCTCCCAGCATGACTGTCTTGTCACATTTGCCCCCCCCCGCCCCGGTCCAAAGCTAATTATTTTACATAGAGGAGGTGCCTGTTTCAGATAAGGTGGTCAGAGGAAGCCTCTCTGTGGAGGGGACGTTAAAGCAAAGTCTGGCACGGAGTGTGAGCAGGCACCTGGGGAAGAATGTTCTGGGTGGGAGGGAGAGCAGGGACCAAGTTCCCGGGGAGGTGGAGGGGGAATGAAGGGCTGGCAGCAGGACGTGCGGCTGTAGGCCTGCAGCCAGGGGCTGCCCAGCCGCATGCGGGGAGAGGAGGAGACGGCTCGGAAACAGAAGTGGCCCCTCGGCAGCCAGAGGAGCCCTGGACGTGGGTCCACAGGTCTGGCCTGGGGCTCAGATCTGCATGTCCTTCGCTCATGGTGAGCCTTGGATGCAACACTTAAGGTTTCTGAACTTTGGTTTCCTCCACCCCTGGAAGTAGGGGAGACACAACTCCCCACCTCCCAGGGTCACCTCCTCCTTCCCCCCTCCCCCCATCTACAGTCCTCACACTTTTAAGGGGCACCTGGTATTGACGACTCTAGGGAAGAAGCAGGAAACGGAGCTGCCTGCCTGGTCTCCCAGCCTGTTGTCCACCCTCCATGTGGCCAGAGGACCTCGGTGGGTCCCCCACCCCCGCCCCCAATCCTGCACCCTGACCAGTGGCCACACCCAGGTCCTAGAGAAGCAGGTGTGGGAGGTTGAGGGTAGAGCAGAAAGAATGGATTTCTGCTGGTTCCCCTCCCCTCCCCCTTCCCAGGGGTGACCTCGCGGTGGACTGCAGGGCACAGACCGTGGCCCCAGGTCCGGGCGTCTGAGCTGAGGGGGTTGGGGAGCAGCACGGAGGAGCTCTGTGATGTCAGGTGAGCTGCCTAACCTCGCTTAGCTCCGAGTTCTGCCTCAGCCAGCAGGATGATGGAATCCGCCTCCTAGGACAGTGTGAGGATTTCTTGAGGGGTTTTGGAAGGAACAAGGCCCACGGGTGAATTCTGGGTCAACTCGAGTACTCTCTGGGTGACCTCACTCCACCTCTCTGAGCCTCAGGTTCCTACTCTGCCAAACAGAGGGAAAGACAATGGCCTCATGGGGTTGCTGGGATACAGGATGCCGTGCCTAGAAGCCCAGGCAGGGAGGCCTCCTGGAATGTCACCCGCTCCCCCCCCCTTTCTTCTTGGAGGCACCTCAGGGGAGGGGGCAGGTGAGGACCTTCCCAGCCTGACCCAGTCCCAGCTTCCGCACTGGCCCCCCCGGCTTCCCAGCACTGGAGTTGCAGCGGGGTCCGAGCCGGGGCATGACGTGTCCACACGCTCCTCGGGAGCAGGAGGCCTGTCTCA